AATCATTTGAAATTGATTAGTTCTGCCATATGCACTTTATAGCCAAAAAAAGCCAAATGTTTCACATTACCTTGTCATTTAAATGACAACACTTTGGAGAATGCGGACAAGAAAAAGACAGACAAATCTCTGCTGGGGCAGAAACGCAGCAGCACAACGGCCCTTCTCCAAAGCATCCCCCATCCCCTTCCCTCTCCCGCTCTGGGGCTGTCCGTCAGGTGCATTGGATGCAGTGGGAACACGGCACAGCCTCCCCAGGAAATTGTGCGCAGGGGCCAAGAAATCTGAGTGCTGTGGCAAAATGGGAGACATAAAACAGAATTTATGTTGCATTTTGCTGGAATTGAGAGTGCAAAGTGGTAGTTCTTAATCAGAGAGCGCTTTGTGACAGCTACAAACACCGAGAAATGGGCACACCAGTGCACCTGCTCACTGTGCCCACGTCGCGTTTCGCCTAGCAGGGTCATTCCTCACCCAGGGGGGTGTCCAGTGGAGACCACAGCAAACCACACGCCGTACCATGGCAATCTCCTGACTCCTCAATAACCTAGGTGAGACACGACCCTGCTGCCCAGGTCAACTGGTCCCTGGGCTTGTTAGGTGCACACCAGTCAGTCTGCAGGGTGCTTTCAACATTTTAAGGTGCTTGGGGCAGAGATCAGCTGCCTGGGGCAGGGAAAGTTGTCCCCAAATGGTATTTGAGCTCCCCTGGGTTTCCCTGGGACAGAGGAGGGGAGGCAGCAGCAGCCTCTCCCGAAAGCCCCCGACCAGAGCCCCTGCCAGCCCCCAGGAGCCCCGGCTGCTCTCCCTGCTGCAGATGTAGCTCAGGAGCAGGGGACTCAGTGCAGTAAGAAAACCCAGCCTGGCTCGAGAACGCGCAGCGGCCCGACACAAGAACATCCTTCAGCAGCAGCCTCCACCCAGCACATCGGGGAGGCAGAAGGCCATCCCTGTGGCGCTCGGAGCTCAGACGCTAGGTGCCAAGGCAGTGCTGGCAGCACAGCCTGCTGATGCTTCTTCTCTTTAAACAAAGAATGCAAAGACCAGACTCTCTCTATAGCAAAGGGAGGCCCAGGAGCTGTCTTTCCTGTCCAGTTCCACCAGTTTTGCTCATCAGAGGCACAGACAGTGTCTTGCGGCACACAGCACCTGGGTACCCGCAAACCTCCTCCTCCTGCAAGGGGGACGGTACCAGTGGGAGGATGCACACTAGCATTTCACCGCAGTCTGGCTTGCGCTGTGAGGGATCAAAGCAAACACATTCTCTATTTAAAAAGATTTAAGCCCTGGATATTATTTGTGTTAATTATTTCCTGCACACATCCCACAGCGTAGGTATGGCTGTACACCAAGCAGCACTCAAGAGCTCGCAGAGGCTGTTAAATGAGGCTGGAGGGCTGTAGCTATTAGACTGGGGGCTATCCAAATAAGCAGAGCTCTTTTAATGACAGCAAAAGCCTTACTTTACAGTCTGAGCAGAGTTAAATATTCCTTTTGCACTATGTGGGTAAGAAATTCCTCAGAGAACAAGGCTTATCAAGTACATTTAAACCATTACAACGAATGGGTAAGAGATGATTGCTGCAACGTGGTTTTAAAACCGTTTTTCACTTGTCTGTGGTTGAAAATTAAACTGTGGACGGATGCAGCTTTACTCCAAAGTGCAAGCATCACAGGACAATTAAACACCAAAGATACACCAAGCTGCAGCAAAATGGTTACAGCTACGTAAATCTCTAAGTAAAATCATCAAAACACTAGATCAAACCGGGGCAGGCGGAAGACTCCTCAATCTTCCGTCTTCAGGGACAGCAGGCATTGCACAGGCAGATACTAATAACCACAATAGTGAGCGCTTACATCGTGTTTTACCTCTTCCTGCTGCCGTGAAGCAGAGCTGTACATTCCCGCAGGGCTGCTCGCTGGAGAGCGGGGAATCGCAACGCCTTATCTCATAGTGCACGGGAAGACATCCAAGTAGCAAACTCCTCCAGCCATACGGCATCAAGCTGCTACCAGGAATAAATGGACTGAAAGTAAAACAAAGGCTGAAATTTTTGAGGCAGACAGTGGACTCCAATAAATAGCGTCCAGTTCTCTGATATTTCAGTATGACTTTCTACAGGGGGAAAAAAAAAATAATCTCAATTCTCTACTTCCCCGACAAACTCCAGCGACCGCTGCCACCTCCATCCACCCTGGCAATGCAGGGGTGCCCCTGGGGTGAGCAGGGACGTGGCAGGCAGGTGCCTGGTGGGATGGGCTGGCTGCCCCCACCCACCCCCAACATGGCCCCCACAGGCGGCAAGGCTGGCCCACGTCCTCGGGAAATCCCTGGCACCGCACTGCCCAGGGCTGGACCCAGCCCTGGCCACGCTGGCAGCATCTCTGCATCCCCGCCCCTCCTCGGGGACGCCCTGCTGGGCGCCAGCAGTGATGGATGTGCTGGACAGTGTAACTTCAGGTTGAGCGCTTGCAAAAACACCCAGGTTGATTTCCAGCTCCGCTTCAACCCTGTGGTCACCAATTCAAACGCCAGGATGCAGTCAAACGCAATCAGCTCACACCAACAATCAATAGCAAAGATAAGCACGATGATTATTTATTTATTTTCATAACCACACCACCCGTGCACCCCGCTGAGGCAAAATTACCCTCATCGCGGGCTCCTATCGATCGACAGCCGCTTCCCACCAGCACAGCAGGAGCAGATGGGGGAGCGCAGTGGCAAGCCCGGGATGGGAGCCCCACCCGCGAGCTCGGCACTCCTGCATCCACCCTGCACTCACCCCCAAGCAAACACACACAGCCTGCCTGTTCCTCCCACCCCAGTGTCTGTAACACCGTATGAGAAGGAGGAGGAGCAGCTAACGATAGCGTTTGAGACCCCGGGCACACACAGCACTGCAAAGCCAACGTGAGTGGTGCCGCACGGAGGGCGGCAGAGCCGGCACCACGCGCAGGAGGGCACATGGCACCACACAGCCGGGGCCACCCGCCCTGCCCCTCGGGAACCCACCAGTGGGTCTGGGCAGACAGGGCTGTGGCACACGTCTCCCCGTGCTCCCCACACCTGCCAGCACGGGTCTGACCGGCTGGCAGCACCGCAGGCGAGACGGATATCATGACACCTACAGAGCTGATAGCCAGGTCAACCAAAAACATAAAAACGCGTTTACAAAAAGTTAAGAAGTTTAATTTCAGAATGTCAAAACGCAGCGTTCCCATAAATGAAATGTTTTGCTTAAGAGGTTACATTGATGTTTCGGCAATTTTAAAACAGTTTGTGTTGGAAAAGAAAAATACGCATCACTTTTATCCCAGAGTCTTGAGCTGCTTCACTTCCCCCAGAAATTCAATGTTGCTAAACAATACACTAGGGGGGGGTGAAAAAAAACACCGGGGGGGGGGGGGGAAATAATCAATAGTCAAAAACTGCTCCCTTGAGAACGCTGACCTTGCATTTGCTGTTTTGCATGGTTTCCAGCAGTGTGTTGGAGCGCTCAGGAGGCCCCGGGTACAGGACTGATGCCGACAGACACCCACAGCAGAGCTTGGCACAAGCACCAAGATGGCAGATCTAGGCAAAATGGTGACCTGCATTTCCTCAGTAAGCCCAGGGCTTTTTCAGTGTGTTTAGCCAGAGAAGGAAGCAGTATAACTACAGTAACACCCCATAACACTGCCATCTTCTTACAAAATGCTTCCCAGCCCTGCAGAGGGTTGATAACCCCAGTTCCAACATCCAGATGCTGAGCAAACTCCTCCAACAGGCTGTCTAGGTAACGGCAAATTAGGTTGGAAATGCTGCCTGAAACATAACAGCAGATACATACATACAGGAAATAAAATGTTTTCTTGCTCTGTAAAGAAAAATGCCTGCCAGCCACCAACAGCAACTCAGTACAGAGATGAAAATTAACTACCTGTCTGGGGCTCTCAATGGCTTCATCTGCAACGGAACTGGAAGCCATAAAAGTGAGCCAAGGGTAATCATAGCCACAATTTTCTATATATAAATATAAAACCCCCAAGCACTCAAAAGGCAAATTCTGACAGGATGTTAATAAACTACAAGCTAGTCTGGTCTGATTAATGTCATGACAAAATTCCTGCATACTTGGCATTTCTAGGCCGATGGGTTAAAGGAGTTATTGTCTGCTTCCGCTCTAATATCAGGCAGGGGAGAACACAGCTTCCCCCCACTTGCAGAGGGGCATCCCATGCAGCTCGGGGTCTCCAGTGCTGCCCGTACCAGCTGCTGGAGCTGCCTGAGCTCCCAGGAGCCCGGGGTGAGCTCTGATTGAATTAACAGGGCATGCACCGCCTCGGGCCGGAGCTAGCTCTTTATATGCAAATTGAGGATCATAAACAGCTATCCCAGGACAGCACCTGGGGAAGAGCAAATTTGCCGGCACTTCTGGCCAGGTGCAGTCAGCTCCCAGGGCGGCAATGCGATGCCCATGTGCCTCCCCTTGCCAGGCTTCCCCGCAGCACTCCTGGGGACAGACACGCTCCTGGGGTGCAGGAGCGGCTGATTTAATGGGGTCTGTGCATCCGCCCCTGTTGCAGTAAATGGAAAATGTAGCCTTAGGTGTTTACATTTGATTCGGGAGGCTGGTTTTAATCTCCTTAGGCTGGGAGGAAAACTCATTTAGAGAAAGTACCCATGCTCCCGAAGCATAAGTTGCACTTGCAAATGCACTAAGAAGGGAGAGCTTGTTAACTGCCTCCTCACCAGGATGGGCATGCAGGGCGGTGCAGCAGCGGCACTGGGGTACCAGACATGAGACGAAATGCGATGTTTTGCAGTGAGTTTGCCCAGAGCCGGCACAGCTCCAGCTCCAGCGGCAGCTCCCTCCACCACTCCCGTGCCCACACGCCAGCCAAAGCACCAGCCTCTGAAATAAGGAGCACCTCCTCTGCCCTCTGACATCAATGTACTGCATCAGGACGGCATTACCGGTACTGCGGTACACAGGTGACACTGGCAGCAATTTTCATCCAAGACCCTGAAGAGAAAGGCTCCTTGACAGCCCTGGTCTCCCCATACTCACCCGTAGCATGGTGATCATGGAGGGGTCTCGGAGACGGCCGTCCTCATCCTTGAGATTGTATCCCTCCGGTCTCTTGTCCCGCTCGCTGACCTTCCATAGCTTCACAGTCTTATCTGGGGGCAGGAGAGAGCAGAACGTTAGGGCTGGCTGCTCCCTCAGCCGCCCCACAATGGCCATGTCGGCTGGTTTATAGCGGTGAAAAGTCTGCTGTGTCCCCACCTGCAACTTGCTGAAAGTGGTTACAGAAGATGTACCTGTCACCACAGCACTTTATCCCCAGAGCCCTGGTTTTCCTGTTCCTTCCGGACAACTGCCGGTGCGTTTATCCCAGATGTAAGGAGATGGTTGAACAACAGAACAGAACTATTGGATTAATGGAGAAATAATAGGAGAAGCGATCTCCCGGGGCTCAGAGTGTCAGAGGTCATGCACTGAATGTTGCCGTTCGATATATCGGGTGACGGGGCAGAGTTACCCCCCAAGGAGGTGGCGAGGCGCTGGCCCCAGGATGGGGCAGCTCAGGCAGTGCAGGGGGGCTGAACCCAACGTCCTGGCAATGGGCCAGCACCACACATGGCTCCTCTGCTCCTCCGTGCCACTCACATGTGTGTCGCACGCTTGTGCGTGCACACAGACACAGGCACCCCCTTCCCCACACCTGCACACCCACTGGAAAGCCAGCCGAGAGCAGACTCCCACATAAGATTATTCTTCCTATGCTTCCTAGCTCATATGGCAGTTACCCAGGGGCCACTGGGTCCTTTTCAAGAGTAATTTCCAAATTAATTTAGCTTCTAGTAATTGGAAATGTGTTAAATACTAAGGATGCACCAGCTCTCCTAATTCTGTCCCTGCTAGCTGCTCCTCTTTGACCCTTGCGCTGCGAACACCCCTTGGCCATCCCTGCTGACCCCCAGCTCCGGGCACTGCCTTCCACGCCCCAGCCCCACACCAGCCTTGCTGGCCCCTTCAGAAACACGAAAGGAGGGCTGGGGACGCCGTGGGCGGCTCCAGCTTGGTTTTTTTTTTGGGGTGCGGGGGGGGCAGCCGCAGCAGCACCCGTGCCGGCAGCAGGCGCTGGGAGCTCTGCACAGCTTTAGAGCTCATCAGACACAGGGTGTCCCAAGGTCAGTAATTCTGCTTCCAGCAGAGCGCATGCAGAAATCCAGTGTGCAATGAGCGGAGCAGAGCAATGGGCGATTCGAGGTTCCAGCAAGTTGGCTGGTACAACAGCACTGCGAAGGAGCAAAGCCTGTGGGGAGGTAAGCTGTCCGGGGAACTCCCCGAAGGAGGGAAGGAGGTGAAATGGTGCCTGTAACTCACTCAGAAGTCATCCTGACCTTCCCCACCCAGAAACTGCGCAGGGCCCAGCATTTACCACGGACTGAAGGCAGCTCCAAACTGCCCCCCGACCCCCAGCAGCTCCCAGTCCCCTCCTGCTGTCCCACCCACCCTGTGCCACAAAGCCCCCAGGGGAAGGAGCCCCAGGACATCTGGTTTTATTCTGAATAATGGTGTTTTCTTTCCCCTCTCCTGGCAGAGCCTCTATCAGTAGTTTATCATCACTTCCACCAGGTTTCATATACAACCGTATCATCCATCTTCATTTTCTCCTTTACAGGGCAGTTCCAATAGAGTGCCATTAATTTTGTTTTTATTAACCTACTTTACTTCAGGGGGTTTCTATATATAATGTAAGTTTAACATTAAGAACAAAAAGAAACAGCATAACATGGGAGTATTTCTAAAAGAATCATTTTGATAACCTGCTAGCATATGAAACACCATCCCAAATGGAAAGATAATATTCCTGTTAATCAAAAAACTATTTAAAAACTCAATTAACAGAGCATTATGCTCTACAATTAATCTTCATTGCATTTCAATGATTCTCCCCCCAAATGAGTTTAGCAAGTCTTTGAATTTTATTACAATGATCAATAGAGTCAATTCTATAATACAAAGTAAGTTGGTTATGGAAGATAATTAGACCCCTCCTCTTCCCCTGAAGTAATTAAGTCACATCCATCTTAAGGTCCCATTCATCCCAAGTAATATTCCTGGATACTCCTGGTATTTATCTGAACATAACATGGAACTGCTGAGCTGAACGCAGCTGCAAGTTGAAACAAATCAGCTGCAGTTTTTCTTTAAAAAAAAAAAGGGGCGAAAAACTCCCTCCCTTCCAGAAAACGGCTGCTGTGAAATAAGGACAAAACCTCGTGCACAGGAATTGAGCCCTGCCAGACAGTTTCGGACCTGTTTCTGCTCCCTCGTGATACCCGTGTTACCCTGAAGGGTGTCAACGTTTTTTTAACATGTGTTTTTCCCAAAGAAACACTACAGAAAAGGCCCCGTGTGGCTGTCGGGGCCCCGGGATCCAAGGTGGTGGGATGGTAGTGCTGGTGTGTGCCCAGCCAGCCCAGGCTGCCCGCGGCCATGGCCCCGTACCGTTGGTGGAGAGCAGGAAATAGGCTGCGTTCTGCTGCGGGAGCCATCGTATCTTATTGATCTTCTCCTCTATCTCCAAACTCTTCAGGTAATCGAACTCCGGCTCATGGCTCTGGAAGGTGCTGTAGACATTGTACTCTCCCCTGCGATGGGGCTGGTTTTTGCTCTGCAGGAAGGGGAAGAGAGAGGAGTTTAAGGCACAGAGACATTTTCTGTGGACTCTTTGGTTCCCTAAGGTTCATTAAGTGACGGTGAGTGCCTGGCTGCAGGGACCCAGCGTGGGTCTGAAAGCCAAGGCACAGCCCCTTCTGGCGTAGTGGCTCCGGCACGCTGGTGTGCTTGGCAAGAATGGAGCGGCAATGGAGCAGGAACGGCGCAGGAATGGAGCCTGCCGTGCCGGCTATCCCTGGTGAATGCCTGGGATCGAGTGCCAGCTCCTGCCGGGTGCCGAAACCAGCCCCAGAGGAGCCGCTGGCAGCATGCCACCTGCACAGGATAAGCAGTGTTTGCCCTCCAGGTGCACAAATATAAAGCAAGAATAATGCAAGCAAGAAAAGGACACCATCTCTGCAGGAACTGACACTGCATGCCATGGCTCAGCGCTCAGACTTGTAAGGTATCGTGTATCTGCAAATCCCACACGGTGAACAACCCAGCACCAGGTTCTGAATGGGGCTGAGGTAATTAAATGATATGAACTTCCCGCATGCAAATGAAGTGTTTGGGTCGGTGAAGCCCCACTTGTCCCCTGGAGCATAGCACTGCTCCAAAGTAGGAGTTGAATGGAATACACCCAGTGTGATGCTATGAAGCTTAAAGTTCAAGAAAAGCAGTCGAATACTAAAATGAGAGAGAAATGAGAAATGAAATAGTGCTGAAAAGGTTGATGAAGCATCTATGCGTGTAACCTTTAACTGATCGGTTCTCTCCAGCGTATATAGAAATAATTTTGAGGCTATAACTTTGAGAAAAAATTAAAACCGTCATCGGACCGTGGCATTTTTCATCCCTCATCCCTTCCACTGTCAGCAAACACACCCACAGGGGAGGACGGCTCCTGCCAGCTCAGACAGCGCAATGCCGCATGCGCCGTGCCAGATCAGCTAACCAGGATGGCTTCGGAAATGGTGGGGAGTCTCCCGGGCAGTGGGGGCCGCGCACCTCCCCCTGGTCAGGCCGACTTTGTGCACGCCAGTGCCGGCACCCGTGCTGAAGGCTGAGCTCTCGTCACTCCTGCAGAAGGCTGGACAGACCGTGACCTCAAGGTTTCAACAGTTTGTTAAAATCTCCTGGGGCACAGTGTTTTGGAAGGGAAATGTGATTGTTTCATCCATCTACGCTTTCCAGACATTTTGGCGGTGTTGAGAGGGTTTTTGGGGGATGGTGTTAGCTATGAGACAGACACCTGCGGCATGCTGAAATGTGCCGGCCTGATCAGAGTTACACTCGGCTGCAGAGAGCTGCAACCAAAGGGATGCAGGAAATGCAACATGATTTTAGAGGGTGTTTTACAAGATAAAATCTGGTCCTGCTTATATTAACAGTTGCTTTTCAGTTTGGAGTATGCCAGGAGAGATCTGAGGTTAGGAGTGATGCAGACAGATTAGGAAACAGCAGGAAGCTTCTCTTAAAAGGATAAAATGGGCATTTTGCATTCACTGGCACTTACCTCCTGCTCACGTTGAAATATTACAACACGGCCCCCCTTGTCCCCTGTTGCTAGTAATTCTCCAGTGTGGTTGAATTCTACTGTAGAGATGATGTCAGCTGGAAAGAAGACAAAGACAATTTAAGTAACTGCAGACTGGCTTTCACAGGCATCTAGAAAGCCCCATTCCCCGTACAGCTACATGCCTTGTCAGCGCTTCACCCCTTGTGGGCTCTCCATAAATCTCTGTTTTTCTATTGTCTATAATAATAATGGTCACAGCATTTTGGAACTTTGCTGTCATGAATGAAGACCCGCTTGGCACTCCTGCCTCCTTGCCCTGGCCTGCACCCCAACAGCCGAATTCAGGGGTATTTCCATCTCCGCGCTGTGCCTGTGCCGAACACAGCCTGGGGACCGCTGCTGGCAGCGGGGGCACGGAGCTGGGTGGCATGGCATGGCACGGGACGGCATGGCATGCTCCCCTCATGCCCAGGGGAGCCGTCCCCAACACTTTGGGTGATGCAATCGATTCCTGGAACCTGGGGAGGGCTCAGCGCCGCCTGGCACCCCAGCACCTCGCCCCGGCACCTGCCAACAGTGCCCGTGCACGGGTCAGGCTTCGCTCCTGCCTGGCTCTTCTGCTTCCCCGCTCCCTTCCAATGCCTGGGGAGGTGGTTTGCCTTCACCCTTGGCGGAGAGGGAGCAGACGGATGAAGACACTTTTGTATGCTTCTCCTGAGTTCACCAGCCAGAGCAGCCTGGGTGACCACATCAACTCTGCCACTTTCCCCTGCCCGTTGCTGAATCTCCCATCGTCTATCAAGGAAAATTAAAGTGATGCCTTCCAGCCCTCCATCACCCCAAAAGCCACCATGCTCGCACGGCTCCCTTCCCCACAGACCGAAGTGCCACCACCAGGAGGCAAAACCCCTGAGCAGGGACTGCCGCTTGGCTGCAGTAACGGGGAGAAGGGAGGAAACGCTCAGGGACCTGTAACTTGTAAACGCTTTAATCTGCAGTGTTTACCCTTGAGGCAAAGCAAGCAGGAGAGCTGCTAATGATTGGATTTATTTGGCCTATTTTTAGAAGAATGTCAGAGGTTAATTCCACGGCAATTACTGCCCAACTGGTGTTCACCCACTGCCTGGCGTGCAGCTCTGCACCAGCACGAAGCTGGGGAAGGGGAAGAACGAACACAGCCTCGGAGACCCAGTGCTGGGTGCAAGATTGATTTTGCAATGAACGGCACTTAGCTATGATCACAGCCAGCTCATTCCTGCCACAAGGGCTGACAACATTTGCATTTCTCTTCCCTCTCCTTTCTGCGGTCCACCAGTGCGAACAGGGCTGCAGAGCCCATGGCTGCAGCCTCAGCAGCTCTGGGAAGGAGCAGGGTGCCTGTGCCGGCTGCGGCTGCAAACACCGGCTGCACACACAGGCCACCGGCACCACCCGGACCACAGGCACTGGCACCCTTGGAGCCCTCCGAGCACCGCGATGATTTCTCTTGCTTATTAGCTCTGTCATGTGCCAGCAGACAAAGCATCTGAACTATATAACCTGAACTGTCCCTTCTCCCTCCTATGATTTTTATCCTTCTCAGGTACATACTAGAAAGTTAGCACAGCAGATTAGAAAAGACAAAATTCAGAGACCGGCACAGACTTCCACAGCTGCCAGGAACACTTCTGACGGTCTGTCTTCCAGGATGTCAGCTGAGATAGCACCCACCAAACGCACGTCCTGCACCACAGCATCTCCCAGACGAGGCATCCCAGAGGCCCTTCCACGGCCGCAGGCTCCCCCGAAACAAGGCACCTCCAGCCCAGGACGGTGTCTCGGCTGAGCGAGTGACTCCAGGCAGGTTTGGGAGTCAGCACAGCCACCCGCAGCAGGCAGCGCTGGGCAGCCACCCTATCCCGGCGGCGTGGGGTACTCACCGGCACACACCGCTGCTCCCTGGCGCACACCACCACCGGCAGACCGCCGGCAGCAGCACCCCGACCTCGGGCACACCCAATTAGGCAGATGGCTGTCCAGCGTCAGTTCACACAGGCTTCACCTCTGCTGCTGCCCATGTGGGTGGGTTGTGTCTTCCAGGCCATACCAGTGGGGAACCAGCCCTCCAGCACAGAGAAACCCAGGACACAAGACCATCCCTAATTTATTCACGCTGTCCACCGCTCTATGTCTTCAAGGGGACTTCCCTGCTCACTCTCTGGATGTTCTGTCCCCGACAGCATGCGAGGAGCCCAGCATGTCTGCTGAGCTGTGAAAATCCAGATGGCTGCAGGTAGGCGAGTGATGAACTCTGGGCTGCTCCTATTGATACTTGTGCATCTATCTCATACTGTCCCACCTCTCCAACATGAAGCACATTTGCAGCAACACACAAATGCATTCTGAAGTTGATCTTAATTCGTTGACAACACTTGGTTGCTGTGAATAGATTTAGGGAGACACTTTCACCGCAGATGGAGATGGTGCTGCAGAAGCAAAACCCAAGAGGCTAACGGTAACACCCCCGTCCTGCCGAGCAAGCGGAAAGGGGGGGTGTGCTGGGGGCTGGACTGGCTGGCACTGAGCTGGAAGGCTCTAAGGCAAAGCACTTCATTCTCCTGCACGGAACCCTTCTGCCTCAGACTGCCTCTGTGGGCAGCAAACTCTGCCAGAAAGGTTCTAACCATCTGCTACCAATGTTAAAAAGGCTGAAAAGCGATGCAGAAGGGCCGAGCTCCGCTCTTGCTTACACTAGTGAAGAGGCAGGCTAACTGCGGCAGAGCTGGCTCCAGCGCTGGGCATAGACAGCGTTTGTTAGGGATTTCAGTCTTCTGGGGTTAAAGTTACCGAGTGGATCCTGAACTTCTTCAGATCACCTGTTCTTCCTCTCTTGGCTGGGTTTGAACTATTGGTTAAATATTGTTTCCATTTAGCAACTGGGAAAACAGGTCGTGGAAGGTTTTCAGGAGCTTTTTTCTGGTTTCCCTTGAGCAACGTAATCTACACATACATCTTGGTTGCTTCTGCTGTTCTTGCACACTCTTCAAAACCTCTTTTAATGGATTGCCTCTCTGTCAACAGGTTTACAATCCATTAATGCAACAGATAACGTGGTGCACAGCCTCTGACATCTAGATCATCGTTTCGCATCCAACACGGACTGGAGGCAACCAGGCACCATCCCTGGTGTGCCCAGGTCTTCCCTGCACTGTGTGCAAGGTGTTTCCCTCCTCCGCACGGCTCCTGAACTAAGCCATAATAGACAGCTAGGTTACTTAGTTTTGGCAGAACGAAAAAGGAGATCAAGAACCTGCTCCCACAGTACAGACACATTTTTGATGCTGCTGTTAAACAAGCATCTACTATGAAAAACAAATCTCTCTCGCACCCACCCAGTTCTTTAACCCTGGATTTGCTTCACCGATGGGCCAGAATAGCAAGGACGCACAAAGTCCCTTGCATGAGGGAAACCTTCGCAAAGAGGCTGCACTGAAGCTAGAACCTCAGAAATTAAATAAGCAAAATGTCAGCGAACAAAACATCCACCTGATGTAGTTCTCTTTCCTACTATCACCATATTCAATGAATGCCCCCCAAAGGGCAGGACAGGTATTTTTAAACATCTGTTAAAGGCTGGCGAGGAACACCGAGACAGGGCAAATCCCACCCATGCTGCTGCAAACCTGCCAGACTTGCTACAGTATTTGAGGATCCTGCAGAATCAGAAACCAATTTGCAATTTCAAGGAAAGGACGCTGGGTCTAAAAAATACAAGCAAAAACATATCCCTGAAAAGTTAAGCCAAAAGCCACCTCGCATTCTCACAGGTAATTGCATCCACAGCTGCAGACAGATGCCACAGCCAAAATCAACCATGCTGAAGTGCTGAGAAACTTTGTGTTTGGAACCAAATCTGCCTCAGCAGCTTGAGCTAAGCCCCAGTTCAAGCAGAGGTTTTCATTCCTGTAGCAGGTAACCTCCACCCCGGCGCGCGTCGCCGCAATCTCCTCGGCCAAGCCTGGCGTCGGCAGAGGTGTTATGTGGAGAACGCTCCGGGGATGGACTTGGAACAGAAGCTGCAGCAGCAGCTGAGGAACTGCAGAGGCCGTGGCCAGGCAGTGTTAATGTGCACCTTGTACTAAGTGGTATTTTTTCCTTCTAAAATTACTCAGTTGAAAATGTATCTGTTTTGCACTATTTAATCTTCTCCATCGCCAGCTGCTGGCTTTAGGTCATTCACTTTTCAATGAATTAAAAATAACTTTCCATGCTGCAGTGAGACATTTAGCGCATGCTACGCAATGCATCACCTTGTCAGCAGAGCTATCATCTGAAACACTGGGGCCGAGCACCACCAGGATCCTCGTGCCACCCCGGCCCCTCCACCCATTTATTCTGCATCTGCGGGGAAGGGGGGTGCAGGTCCACAGAACCTCCCAGACCAAACGTTTGCTCGTGCCTGTTGTTAGGATTTCAGACAAGGATAACAGCAGAGCTTGGCTAACAGCTCACTTTCACACCTTAAAAAAACCTAAGAATTAAAAAACACCCCTCTTGTGAGCGGAAGTATTCAGCCTGACCCAAAACCCACCACCATCGATGTGAGCATCACTCCCAGACACCCGTGGGCTGGGCTCTGGCTCTTCTCCCTGATATCCCTGGGTAGCAAGAACTGTCTGGCATTGCACAGGAAAACATCCTCGAGGGGTAAAATGGAGAAGTCTTAAAGAGGTTACAATTCAGGAGCACAGTGCAGCATCAGATCCTTTTCCAAGACATCTCTCAACAAACTTGGGACCCTCCAGCACAGGCTGGTCGGTCACAGGCTGCTGCCTGCTCATCCCCACCCACCGCACTTGAGAGACATGACAGGGCAATTATTAATTAAAATTCACATGTAATCGCATTGAAATGATCAATAATTTATGCCCATTTCTCCTAAGGTTCCTACAGCAGTTTTGTGACAACAGAAAGGAAAAAAGCTTCTCTCTTTTTTTGCCTTTTCATTTCCTTCATCACCTCCTACAAGCTCAGTGCCCCGAATGCAGGAATTTAAAGAAAACAGTTTCCATGGAGCCCCTCCCCTCTGCCAGCACCCGCCTGTCCTCCCTTCCCT